TCTACACTTAGCAGACAATTCATTAACGCTTTGCTTTCAAATGAGATGGTATAAGAGACAGTCAGTTGAAAATTGCTTTAACTGATAGGAAGGATACTATCTTCAATTCACCAGTGGTTAAAAGGGCGCGTTCCGCTCCTGAACTGTGTTTGTTAATGGCTCCATGGCCCGCCATGGAAAGGATTCAAATGGTTCTATGTTTGTCACAAGAAGAGACACTAAGACACGTGAGACCCGGTTTAATCAGCTATGCTACCTGGATGTGTTATATGTTTCACTAGAAAAGTCTTTGCTTCAAGTTGGCTGTGTCATCACTGAGTTGCTGTAGGGGCCTCAGTATGTCCTTGAGCCCAGGGATCCTGTGTTTGTTGTGCACACTGTAGGCCATTAAAGAAGTTAATATTTGAAAGGGGTGAACCCAAGTGGAAATGCGGAGTTTGACTTACAGTATTGAGAGGTCGTAGCTGGCCAAGTGAATAGTGATCTCACTCCTTCCCACAGTGGGAGTCGAAGGGAAGATGATACAGCCCTGGCCAAACCTCTCCTACTGGGCGACTAAGAGGGGATAAGATAGTTTGCCGATATGTGGGTCTCCCTTACCCACATATCCTATTTATTGAATTATGTAATTGCTATAATAAGGCTTCTATTTAAAGTGTAAATTTTGTACATTCTTGACATACATGGAGAAACCAATATAATGAGCATATTCCCCAGTTCGGCCACTTCTCATATACCTGTGAAATCTTTACATACACGTACCCCATACCACGCCACCTCCCCCAAGAAACCACTCTTTCCTGTCACTATGTTTATATTCTTTAGAATTCTCACATATGAAATGATATCAAAGTATTGACTGGGAAGCACACACACTGCGTGTGTTTACTGCTTTTCTCTAGACCTGTCGATGTATGTCACCTGGTGGCAAACATTTTTATGGTGAATCACTCGGGGCAGCCAGGAATTTGGCCCTTGTTTGTGCCAAGTCATAAGGTAATAAAGGAGCAGAAGTGGGGCAGAAGGCTCTCCCCATGACACCCAGACTCATAGCTCCCTGAAACCTTGTGCAACAGTCAAATCTGTCTTAAAAGCCACTATGAGCCCCTGGCTGGGTGACCTTCAGAGTGGATGGCAGCTCCATGCGGCCATACTCAGATGGACCCTGTGATGGTGATAAGGATTGTGCCTCTGCTTCTTGCAGATGCCCCAGAAGTCGCCGTTCCTCCTGTGGGGTTTGTGACTCTCTGAAAGAGCACCCCTCTCTAACAGAGGGCAGATCACAGTGAACAGCGCAATCGACAGAGTTCATGTGTGCACCACTCCGCTAGAACTTAGCCTCTTCAGCTGGCTGGCACCTAGAAATACCCTGTAGGTGGGAGGACCCAACAACTTTAAGGAGATGGGAGGAGGGAGGGAGGGAAGAAGAAAGAGACGCCGTGTTCTGTTGAGGATAATCAGGTACCAGCTATAGTAGAAGACAGGCAGAAGCATGGAGACACCCCAGGTCTGAGTCACTCCTCAACTCCTGGACCCTCCAGGCAGTGTCCAGGGTCAGGAGGGCTATGAAGCTGCTGATGCTACAGGGAAGAAATAGGAGGAGAGGAGGAACCAAGTCCAAGGTCTGCTGCTAACCTGCTCATCTTGGCTTGGTTTTCCTCTTCCTCCTGTCTCCTTCCCTCTCTGGTGTCCTCTAAAATTGGTCTCGCATCTCCATCCTTCTAACCCCAAGTTGGTCCTCTAGACCTAACGCCCCCAGGCAATAAAATATGGTATACATGTAAAATATACAACAGATTTTTAAGTTATATGAGAGCATAATTGAAATATCTCATTTCAAGTGCCGGTTACATATTGGACCGACACTATCTTAGGTCCTTTGGATTATAGACGATTATTAAAATGTCACTAGTTTCTTTATCCCCTTTTTGTGTGGATACTAGAAAGTCTAAGGCAGTGGTTCTCAGCCTTCCTAATCTTAAGACCCTTCAATACAGTTCCATATGTTGTGGTGATGCCCAACCACAAAATTATTTTGTTACTTCTTCATAACTAATTTTGCTGTTATGAATTATAATGTAAATATCTGATAATACACACCCCAAATCGGGTCACGACCTATAGGTTGAAAGCCAGTGGTCTAAAGAGTGGTGTGTGGCAATTATATTTTATCTCTATTGGATAGTATATTCTTCAGTATATTCAGTCTTTCTTTTCCCCATCTGTTCAAATCTACTTTTTGTTTTTAAAGATGGGGGTCTCACTATGTAATAATCCAGGCTGGTCTTGAACTCTTGATCCTCCTTACCTCAGCCTCCCAAGGGCTGGTAACACAAGTATCCTGTGACTTTTTCTTCAAGGCCCAGCTTAGGTAGTTTTAACTGTATAAGAAGGAATGATCAAGACGAAGGCTTGAAGGCATTCTACCACAGGTAGCTTCCACCTGAATGGTTTCCTGGCTTAACCCAGCTGAGTCTTGATTTTATTGAATATGGGTAAATACTGCAGAGAGAGGAGACACTGCCTGATTCGGGAAGTGTCCTCCCAGCCTCCTGTCTAGAGGGACAGTAGCAAGTCCAAAGCATGAGCAGTTCAGGGAGCTCTGTGCCCTGCTTCCAACATGTCTGCATCCCTGTAAGTGCCCTGACACGCAGAAGGATGCCAAAGCAGAGAGCTGGAGAATGCTTGGGTTCTCAGGAAAGCAACTGTCAACACTTCTAGTCCAAAGCTGGGGCAGCTGCTGTGTTACCTCCCAGAGCATGTTACCCAAGGATGGTTCTCTAAAGAACTCAAACAGTGACAGGACCTACTATAACCTGGGTACCGCCTCATCAGCAAAGGAGTATGTGAAATCTGGATTTTGACAAAAGGTTATTTGGGGGTGATATCATGTTTTGCAAAGGATCCCAAATAAGGAAATAGGCAGCCAAGAGAGGCTATCTACCTACTGCATGTAGTATTGTCAGGGATAAGAAGAGACAAAACTATTTCGTATAGTCAGAATATTTGGTTTGGAATACCTCCTCTTTTTCCATTCATCTCTTCAAATCTAATGTGGGTATGGGTACCCAAGGGTGTTGGATCCTGTGGAACTAGAGCGACAGGTGATTGTGAGCCATGGGACGTGGCTGGTGGGAACGAAACCAGCTCTCTGCAAGAGCACCTAGTACTCCTGGCCTCCTGGTGCTTCTGTCTCAGATCAACTACTAGGAAAGCAGACATACTGTGACTTGTTCTTCAAGCCCCTGCTTATACTGTTTCCCTCCTAAGCCCTCCCCTAATTACTCTGGCTTCTCCAGCCTCGCTAATAAGCAGCTTCAGGGCTCAGAGCTACACACATCATGTGTCTCCATACTCCCCCACCCTAAGTGATGAAGTCCATCTGGGTATTTTCATTTGGAGCCAGATTCAAAGAGCTGGAAGCCAATGACAAGACCTTCTGTTCTCGTCAGTTACTCATCATAACGCTTCATCCCCTGTTGCCTCGGGGGTGGGGGGGAGGAAATCAGTCTGATGTGAAAAACGTTTTTATTATAATCTCTTAAACTTTCAGTGTATGTCTTCATTACAATCATTGGTACAATAAATATGGAAATGCTAAGCAGACAATTATCACAGTGGCCTATGGGCTGAGGGACGGGGACCCAGGGATACTGTTACCCCTGGTACTGCCTCAGGGCCAATCAGGAGGTCTTCAAAGAGTAATAAGAGGGGGAGGAATAGAAATATTAAGACTGTCAGTGCAGCAAATTTTAGAATATCTATGAAAGCCATGGATACAGGATTTACTATAACAGAAGATAGATACTAAAAAAGAACAGAGAGACTCAAGTTCTCCTGTTAGAGGCAGAGGAAAGATTGCAGAAACCAGTGCCTTCCTTGGGTCTCCAGTGCGTGCCCCCCATCCACTCATGCATTGTGTTGGTCATCTCTGCCTGCTATGTGCCCAGCCCTGCGCCCACCCAGGCTCTCCTAGGCACCCACCTTGCACCTCACACAGCAGAGTTAGGCGTGCAAGGCGAGCTGTGCATCAAATACCACAGCACTGGTTTCCCTCAGTGAGGTGGCCACAGAATGATTTTGAATCTGAAGGAAGCTGCGTCTTCAAGAGTTAAAGGTTGACAGCGCTGATTCTTGGAGCACTCTTTCTGCCTCCCTGGTTCTGTCTCATCTCAGCCATGAGGATTGAGCGAGGACTGAATGCCTGGACCATGCTGAAGGGGAAGAAGGAAGGAGAAATGCCTCTGTTTTCCCCTCGTAGCATCTCTCCTTTTATGACCAGTCCCCATTCCAGCTGCGATGACCTCACTGCACTCTCACATAACTTGTCAGTCTTTAAGACAGTCTTGCTGTGCTGGACTGCTTTATGATAGCTTCTGGCCAACAATCCTGGACCAAGGTCAGGAAACCACCTAAATTGTGTTGCTTCTTCCTGAGGCTTGTCCTTACTGTGGTGACACCATCAGGCATGTTGGTCCCAATTCTAGTGTGGCACCCAGACTCCAAGGCTGGCCGAGGGCTTGTGTGCATGCACATATACTGCACACACAGCTGAGCCCCCATTTGATCACTTGTCACCTTGCCCAGTGAATTATGCTACAAAGACACAGGGCTGCCACTATGAAACATTGTGATAGCAGAAAAGATTTTTTTTTATCAAGTCAGGAGGAAGAGATAGAATATATATATTTCTTCAAGAGGACATTCCGTGCTGTCAAAATGAGATTAAATCAGAGAACTCCCTATGAACTTCAAGGAACTAACAATTAGTGGCTGGTGGCTGAGACTTCTTCCTTTTGAGCCATGGAACTGACTGCTCTCCACCGGGTTCTTACCTCTATGGAGAAAACATGAGGAAGGGATTAAGCATTCCCAGAAACCATGTGACTGAGAGGGAGAACAGGGAGATTCTTAGAAACATTCTATTGGTTTAGGTACTTAAGTACCAGGACTACCAAGATAGCTTCCTGTTTCGATAGGATGAAAATACACTTCGGCTATACATTATTTAGACTTCCCCACAGCCAGAGGAGTAGACGATGAGTGGGCAGTAGGAAGATCAGACAAGGGAGAGCTGACATTTGGGCAAAAGAGGCAAAGCTGTCCAGTAGTCTTGCTTCTGTCTGTTTCCCATGGGTTCAAAACAGAGTAGATTATTCTAGAATTCAATCTACTACAGGACAGAGAAAGTAATTCATTTTCAAGTAATGGAGTGGGGTATAAAGCGTAACTGTCCTCCTGAAGCTAAGTAGGTCATGATGTTGACTGATTTTTTTTCCCCCACACTGTACCTTGATTCCAGTTCTGACTCCAAAGGAAGACTCCTGGACAATGTATGCCTTCCGGTTCCCTCTTTTCCTTCTAGAATTTTCTGTCTCCCTTTCATCCCCACTAAGGATAAAACTTGAGCCTGCCTTGCTACAAAGCTTGGTCAATGTCTGTAACCCAAAAGACAGGACTATAAAAATGCCCTGGTATATTATAGTTTTCCTTTCTTTCTGATAATTTGATACTTCTTGTCTCAGTTTTTCCCAATAGGTGCGAGGTCAGGCTGGGGGCGGTCTGCCAGAACAGAAGGAAATCCAAGGAAGACAACTGCTCCCTGAGGAAGGAAGCTGAGTTTCAAAAGTATCACCTAAGCCAAGGGTACATGTTCTAGTCTGGAAGACTGGAGAATAGTAGAATGTTCAGGGCCTTGGAAATGGACCAGGAAGAACCCAGGATGGAAGTGTTTTCCAAACCATAACGGCCCACCAGCAGGTTAGGTTTGTGACCCAGACTTCAGAATCTTTAGCCATCTCACACAGATAGAGAAACCCACTCAAAACTCCTCCCCCTAGTTCAGTTCATCCACTCCCTGGCCACCCTAGGGTGAGTGTGACAGTAGAACAGGGGAGGCCCAGCTGGAACCTCACAAGAGTCTGGGGGAAGGTGATACAGGTGAGCTCAAGAGAACACCTTGAGGTATTTCAAGTGTCCAGAGAGCCAAAGTATGTAGTGTCCAAAGCAAGGTCCTTCCTTGGATGTCTGGGACTGCCAGGGAACTCAGGCGTGGACCTCAGCCTCCTTCTTGATGGCTGGCTTATAAATGACTCCCTTGTTGTCACCTTTCTTGCTACAGGAACAATAAGAACACAAGTCTTGTTAGTCAAAAAAAGAAAGAGAGCACCGAAGAGCAGCCTGGCTCAGGTGTGGGATGAAGGAGTCTTAGAAGTCCGGATTCCTCTCTTGAGGGCTTTTTCCAGGTCCTTTGGTCTTGAGAGAGAATGGTATCACACTAAGTATTAACTAAAACAGAACCTATTTGTTTTCTGTTTTCAAGGCCTGGTCATACCAGACCTGCATTCTGAAGGAGGTCTCATTACTACGCCTACTCCACTTCAAAGTTCCGATGCCTTAATTCCTAGAAACCTTACTTTCTCGTACCAGGAGAAATAAAGTATGTTTTAGGAAAAGCCAAGCGTGGCAATAAAACTATGGGCAAAAGGCGTTTATAGCTAGTATGAGTGAGAGATCAGGGCTTTCTTCATTTTTCTTTATTGATTCATAGAAGAAAAACCATATGTGCAGGTATTAGTGAAAGACAAATACAAAGTTGTCTAAGGTCACTCAGCTAGTTAGGAAGAGAGGCTAATTAGGTAGAGTCACCTCCACACCTGAGCACAGTAACCCTTAAATGACCAGTGTTCCATGCAAGGAGCTAGGACAGTGGCATTTGGAGAGCAGCCTTCCTAGGATAGCGTTGGGTTCCACAACAGGGGCTTGCTCTTTGGCAAAGTTGTCTTGCCAGATAGATCAATCCTCATGGACACATGAGACATACATTCAGAATGGGGAGTCTGAATCCAAACCAACTCACCTCTTCTTCCTTTTGAAGAGCCAAATAGACACTGCCAGAACAATGGAGATCCCAAGAACCCCAGCCAGGGCCACTGAAAGGATGATACCTGGTGAAGAGGCAGGAAGCACATGTCATCTTCCTGCCTTTGCTTCACTTCATCTTCATCATAGCCCTCAGGTGGGCAACTGTGTCCTAGCTTCACAGTTGTCCTCAGAACATTGTGTCCCCGCCTCTGTTCTCAGAGTCTAGCCTTTGGCTTTGTGGCTTAAAGGGCCACTGGCTGCTGTACTTAAAGTACCTACTGCAAATTGCAGTGGTTTCTAGCAGGGGTTCTCAAACTCACACAAGGATCATGTTCACAATGTAGACTTTCCAAAAGGTCAGCCCTCAGAGATGTGATTTGATCTACTAGACCTGGAACCCAGGAATCTGCATTTTATTTTCAACTCTTCCAGCAGATGCTGATGCTTGTGGTCTGTGAACCACACTGTGAGAAACCCTGCTCTACAGAATACGATCTCTATTTGTTTGCTGGATGTAAGTTCTCTTGGGATGGCTCTGTCACTGTTGCCCTAAATTTCCATTGCAGTCCTAAATAACCAACCCCATGGTGGAGGTCATATGGCCAGCCACCTGATCTTATCACTGGGCTTAGGTATGTTTTTACACGGTGCCCTCCAACGTTAACCAACAGACTGATTTAAGTGGGATTTTTACATATACATCGAAGTGTGATTGGTTTTTCATTCGAGGAACATTTGATTGGCAGTTCATTTTTTTAATTAGAGAGCAGCTTGAGGGACACCAGGAGCCAAAGCGACAGCAGAGAAGCAGAGAAGGTGGGCTGAGAGTTTCACAGGCCCAGATCACACTGAAAATCATGGGGTCACCCAGTTGTAGCATGCACACTCAGGAGGCCACATACCCAAACTCAGTCCTGTGTCAGTAAGCAGTCCTACTTAAAAGGGGGAAGAGAAGATTAGACGTTAATCTACAGCCAGACCATGATGGATCTGACCAGTGCATAGCTAAAATCTCTACCTTTTATTTTTGGTTGGTATTCCAGAGCTTATTCCTCTTGGCGGATAGCTATCTTTGGCTCAGGTTGCTGGGGTAGGGGAAGTTCCCACATAGGGATCCATACCGTCTCCTTTCCATCCTCTATTCCTTTACCACAGTCACTTTCTTTGCTAGGACAAGACTTCAGTTTTTAATCGTGGTGGCCAAAAAGGCAAGGCGAAGATGCCTAAGAATCAACCTACCTTGGCAGGTTGTTGCCTACTTCTCTGGTACTTGTCTTCCCCAGTACAGAACCTACCATGAGCCTTCTCCTATTCCTACCTATTCTCTCATCATGGTTTGGTTCTTTCCTTTTCATTTCCGCTTGGCCCTACTGGACAAACTCCTCTATATACCAACCTATCTGGTCTGTTTCAAGAGACTGAAGTATTACAACTTCCCCAAGGGATCACTAGGAATAAGTAGGATGAGTTTAGAGGTCTGACTGGGGTCCAGCCATTGAAGGTAAAATCTCACAACTTACTAGGGATCTCAGAAGACAGATCCCCCCCCTGTAAATGCATCTTCCTGAATAAACAGGGGAACCTAGTCACAACAACTTTCCCAAGAAGCCCCTAGCCTGCCTCCTATAGGTTCTCACTACTCTTCCTCTTTCTCTCAGCCAGGACCTTCATCTAAAGAAGTCTGTTTGCATACATCATCTTTTCTAGTGGTTTTGTGAAACTTACAGATTGTGTGTGTGTTCACCCCTCCCTGCACCCCTGTCCCCTGCCTCCCTGCCTCCGTGTCTCCGTGCCTCCCTGCCTCCCTGTCTCCCTGCCTCCGTGCCTCCCTGCCTCCTTGGCTTCCTTTCTATTTGTGGTGTTTGTTCTAACACTGGAATTCTGAGTGGGACAGGCAGTGGCAACCGAGTCTGACACCCAGAGATAGCCTACACCAGTAAAGCCTACCATAAGAACCGAGACTCTCGGTGAGCCCTAGTGTGAGGTGCCAGCAGAGGTAAGAATTCACTCTTGAGACTTTCAACACACTGAGGCTTTCCCAAGACCAGAGGCTGTAAGGTGAAGTTTCACTCACTCGCCTTCACCTATCCTGTGGCCAGGTCCTGGTTGACTCAACAGGAACTAGGACACCTTTACCTCTTCTCTACCACTCTACAATTTCACACCAAGCCTGCCAAACCTCTGAGACGAGCCTGACCCTGAGATTCCTTGGTTACTGTCAGAGTGAACTGAGTAGTCATAAGGAGAGTGTCCCCAAGGATGGATGGACTGCTCCTGTTCTGGCTGGCAACCACCAGTAGTTCAGAGTTCTTTAGTAGCTCCCCTGGTCAGAGAACCTGCCAGGGCCTCCTTGGTAAGCTGAACAGGGTTAACAATACATGGCTTGAGATGTACAGAGGGCAGGTTCACACTAGGGGAAAATTTCATGCTTCTCCAGCACCTACTGTGTGCTCCCCCTGGCCTGAGGTTCAAGCACAGTACAACTTAATATTTGAGTGTGCTGGGTTTATTTATTTATTTATTTATTTTTTCATGGAACCTAAAGACTGTAAGACAGCCATGTAAGACTGTCACCAGCAAGCCACCTAGCTAGGTTGTCCAAGCTAGATCATCTATTTCACAGTCATCACAAACATGTGGAAGCCACAGAGACTCAAATGGCTGAATGCTCCTACCACATGGAGGTACCTGAAGGAGGTACCTGTGTGCTATGTCTTGGGTTGCTGAGCAAAGCCCATGGAGAGCTAGGCTGGAGAGTGGCCAAGCTTGGTGGACTCTCTGCAGGGACCGTTCACCTTTCTTTACTTGCTCTGGAGCATGTTGACAATGGCATAGTTAAACCCAGTACACCAACCCAAGTTTTCACTTCTGGGTGGACTCTTGTCAGGGACTAAATTGTCTCTCCTTGGAAACAGTGATGTGAGCCTAAAAACAGTGATAAAGACAAAGAAAGTTCCAGAGACGGGGATAGGTGAATTTTCAGCTAAGACTTCTATGTTGCAAAATAAAAAAAACCAAAGCAGCTAGATCATGCAGGCAAAGAACCTAAGTGTCAAGGAAGAAAAACTCCGGTCGCAGTGTCACACTAACAATTCTACTTCCCATGATGCCCAAGCCAGAAAGATATGGCTAGAACGCCATCCTAACCAATTTAGGCAGCACCAACCAAGGTCTGCAGAGAAGGAGCTTGCTTAGTGGGTTTGAGGTCCACTGAAGATCGAGCCCAAGCATCTGCTAATTAAAGAGCCGGAGGGCTAGCAATTTCAGGGAGAAATGTTGAGATTATTCGAGAACTAGACCCAGAGAGAGAAGACAAAGTGTTTTTCAGCCAGGTGAGGCCAATCTATGGGTAACTAGAGTGCAGGTATCAAAGATGGTGTGGGATAGACAGAGCTAGAGAAGGTTATATTCAGCTTAAACAAAGAAATGGATTGTTTCCAAACAGGGATACTGACAAGTAGTTCTGAAAGAAGAACAAGGAGACAGATGGGGGAATTGAGAGAGGCTTGAAGCTTGATCTCAGAGGTGGCCCCTGACAGCCAGCTGATGGGAATCTGACAGGAAAGACTCCTGAGATAGCTTCTAGGAGGATTCATGCTCAGCATATAGGGGAGTTGCTGCCTGCTCAGGGCCTCCATAGAGCACTGGGGTAACCAGCCAGAGTGAGCAGAGAGAGGCCAATATGACACGCAAAAGGAAATTGTGCACAGATACAGACAGCTGCATTGTCCAGGAAGGCAGGACACCTGGAGAAGGTCGGGAACAGCTTGACACAAAGGCCTTGCTACCTGGACTGGCTGGCTCAGGAGCTGCATCCTCCACTGGCATCTGGCTGCGCCGAGGATGCTGGGTAACTGCTTTTGAGGTATTCTGAAGCCTTGGGTACAAACACAGACAAGTCCAGCCCGAAGAGCAAGTGCTCATTTACACATCTTGGCGTACCTGGAAGAACAGTCTAGTATTTTCTAGCTTTTTTTTTTTTTTAATTCTGTTGGATTGCAGGATGCAATCTCTTCTTATTTCAAAGTCCAGTCAAAGCATGGACTGTTTTAATAGACAGCGTGTTATGTAGGGATGACATATACATAGACCAGTCTTCAGTGGTCTATTAAATAATTTATTAAGAAATAATCTAGGAAAGTTTAGGTTTACCAGGGATTCAAATACTTAAGAACATGACATTGGCTAGAATGGTAACAAGTGACTCTTACTGAGTGATGTTATAAGCCACAAGTCAAGTGACCTCAGTGCTAGTGTTTCCTTCAAATTGTACTTTGCTAAGGAAGATGCCCTCGGTGACCAAGCACACATTACTGTCTTTGGAGGGGATATCTAACCTGGCACTACTTTTGATCAACCATATAATATCCAGTCAGAGAATAACTTCTACAAAGAAATCTGCTCAGAAGGCACCACTAGACAGATCATGGGGTAGCTGGATTATAAAGCTGGGATAGGAACGGAGGGCCTTGTCTCCCAGGTTGCAAGTGTGCAGGCTACACTGCTCTGAGCCACGTGTTGTGCCAGCTCTTGTATTATGAGTGGGATTCAGTGGTCCTGGCTGTCAAGGCTTAAGTGGTGAAAGGTAATAGGATAAGTTTATATCTTTGTCATCACAGAGCAAGAAAAAGTATGACATCAGCTGGCAGCTTCCTCCAGGCCTTTAAAAGTTGGTTGCAAGTTCTAAGTCTTGAATTTCCCTTTACATGGGGTTTTATTTTAATATTGTTGGCAAGTTGAGACTAGAGCAAAGGTAAGACTTGAGATTCAACAACTGGCCAGGTTTATGTGTAAACCATTCTAGAGAGAAGATACTGGGGAGGAAAGAGAAAAGGAAATGGTCAGTTATATTCTTTCAGTGAGCTTATAACATGCACCGGGCACGGTGCCAGGAATAAAGAATGAATGAGACATGAGCCATCAGGCAGCCTTTCCTTAAGGGGCCCCTCAGGTGTACATAATATTCACTCTCTCTGGTTTTATTGTATTGTAATAAATAACTACTCAGTTATATGCCACATACTTAAATCAGATGAAAGAGGTTGGTAAGCCACCTCCAGGGTAGTGCGCAGGGCTTCTGAGAAGGTGTGATTAAAACTGGGTCTTAAAAGAACTTTGAGAGTGAGAGAGCCGTTGCAGACAAGAGAAATATTGTGTGTACCTGTCCTGCTTTAGGGGGCCCTGCAGTTTGGGGGGCACTGAGGCTGACAGGACAGGGATGGGGGCCCCGGAGAGCCCACATGGGAGGATCAGCCAGGGTCCTTTCCCAGCTGTTCTTCCTGCCTGCCTACTCTGTGTCAGCGGCAGGATGGGATCCTCAGTGGGTTTGTTTTGTTCTGTCTTGTTCTGTTTGGTTTCTGACTCCATAGCACCAACTTGGGCCACACTAGGGAAACTTGGTGTGCCGGAAGGACCAGGGCTTCACTTAGCACATCTGATGGGTGCTGCTGACAGTTCAGACCCCTGATGCAGGTCTAGGAATCTGAAGGTAGGAACGTCTCTGATTTTTTCATTGGGTACCTTGGAAGAATCGGTGATACTTTTCCATCTAATACCTTTTATTTATAAATAGAAACGTGAAGAAACAGAAGGTCAATAACCACAGCACACAACTTCTAGTCTCCAAAAAAAATAATTAGCCATCTTAGCTGGGTAAGATTTCTCTCGTTTGAAAGGTTTTCTAAAACTATGCAGGTCTCTCTAGGCCAAGCAGGTTCTAATTATGTTACTAAGCAAATGGCCATTGGCTAGAGCCCTCCCCATAGGTGTCCAGCAACTCAGTAGTCCAGCGCACTCACACCTAAATGCCCCTCAGCTGGCTCTAGATCCCTAGTGAGCGGCATGCAGCTCCTCAGAGCAGGCCTACTAAAGACATGATTACAGAAACTTTCTGGCCTCCTTGTGTATCTCCAGTTTCCTTGCCCCTAACATGCTTAAAATGAGCTAGACAATATTAGTTTTGGGGTCTCATAGGTCCTTGCCTTATTATTTATCCCCTCTTGGATTCAGAGTTGGTGTCACTGACTGGGAAGAAATTAACCCACTTCTGGGCCCTGGCCTGTGCTCTTTCCTGCATCCGCACTTAGGTCACCTGGCTCTCAGGAAACCCGGAGGGGCTTCAGCTGAGTCTTCTCAGCACCCACCTGGAGGGCAAGCACATGTCTTCCTTGGAAGAGGTGATTTTCCAGAGCTAATTAACAGCTCCGTGGCAGGGTCTGCAGCTTCCTGATTAGAGTACGAACTTTAAGAAGTCAAAAGAACCACCAGGTAAGAAAGCCTCAGACAAATGGGAAAGAGACAACGGGTGACAAGGGTCCTGCAGAAAGGTGCTCAGATGAAGGGGTCTGTGGACTTCCCAAAGGAAGACCAGTTCTCCTTCCAGCCTTACCCAATTATATAAGAAAGATATTTACTTAAGTTCTAACGGGCTATGGGAACAAGGCTTCTCTTGGGTTGGTTCGTCCAGGATCATCATCTGATACTCAGGTTTCCATGATACAATGCACTAAAGACTAGAGATGGCTCCGTAATTGATCCTCCAGAGGAGTTGCGTTCAATTCCCAACGCCCACATGGTGGCTCGCAACCATCTGTTCTATGGAGTCCAACACCCTATTCTGATCTCCTGGAGCACATGTGTGTACATAGTACACAAACATACCTGCCAGGCAAAATATATATATATATGATAAAAATAAAAATTTAATTAAAATAAATATCAGAGCATATGATATTCAACTTTAGAATCCTATACTAATAGGGACAAAGCCAGTCCTAAACCTACAAAGTCACTGACCAATCCCTGGGGGATAGTGGTTCTCAATGGGGCCATTCTGCTCCATCTCCCCTAGAGATCTGGGCAATGTCTAGAGTTGTTGTTTTTTTTTTAATCTCACAAATGGGAATGTGCCACTGGCATCTAGTAGGTGAGGGTGATGGACACCCGCTAATGCTACAGGGCACAGGGAAGCACCCACTACAAGAACCATCCTGTCCTGAGTGTCAATAGTGCCAGGGTTGAGAAACCCCACCCTAGAGCTATATAATAGCTAAAGTACGAGCCCCTTGCAGGCAGAAAGCAAATTCTATGCTTCTTTTATAAGCATATTCTAGGAAAATAGCAGGGGTGAGTTAAATGGGTCAGTCCTATTCGTTTCAATTTGATTAAATTTCAGAACACACACACACTTTCTCTCCTAGAGATTTTCTTTACATTACTTTCTGCTCCTGGGATTCCTTAGCTCTCATTAACTTCCAAAGGAAATTCTGAGTATAATAGGTACTAGTTATAAACAACCTACATGGAAAAGTTTGCAAAGAATTGAACCCAAATCACTGTCATGTGATTAAACAGGCTCACACTATGAACTTGAAACTGCATGTTAGCCAGACCTGCCCTAGGCTGGTTCTGAGAGGCCCTTGTGAATCCAGGCACCTGTGGTCAGAGGGGTGGGAGCTGAGCCTCCTAGGGGCCCGCTTCTTCATCTAGCCTCAGGAAGTAGCCTTGGCTGCCTGTGTTTTGGAAGATGAAGAAGGGGAGTACTTTGGCCAAGTTTCTATAATCAATGTCTAAGAAGACAAGTTTGCCTTGAACAGCAGCAGATTCTCTAAGGAGAAAGCTGAGTCTAACCTCACAGAAGCAGCAGCTCTGACCAAGCCGTGCAGGAGGGTCTGTGGCAAAACTACATTTGGGCTTTGATCTTGACGTCTGAAGCCAGGAATTAGTTTTCAAGCTTCTGTCTAGAGCCTTCTCAATCTACTCCAGCCAGGTCTCGCAGGATCTACCAAAGCACTCAGCTACAAACCTGCCTGTATAGTCCAGTCTACAAGCAGCTACTTAGACCTGAGCCCATCTAGGGAGACGGCTGATTAGCGCCAATGCCACAATCCGTTGGTACAAATGGGTTTTACTCTTGTTTGTCATAATCAAATTCCTGCACGGTTTCTTCTGATCCTCTGTAACCGCCCCCAAACTCTGACCCTGCAATGTAAAGTCAGGAATTGGCAGTTACTACTTTCCGAATTTAATATGTTGGCACTCAAAGGATGTCAGAGCAAGTCTCCAGCCCAGCATCCTGTGACCAAGGAAACCCAGGCCAAAGAAGGGTATGTTTTGTTCATGTCATACAGTCAAGAGAAAACAAAACAAGGCCCTAAATGGAGGTCTCCTGACTTCAGGGAAAGCATATATTACCCCCTTCCCAAGAATATATACAGACTACCTCAGAAAACAGCTCTTACAGCCCTTCAGCCATAAGCAAAATCTTGCCTGGTCTGTGTGGACAATGGTCCTCATCTCCAGGCTTTTAAATTTAAGAACTGAAGTAGTTCCATACCAGGTATGTTGCCTCATATCTGTAACTCCGACCTCTTGAGAGGCTGAGGCAAGAGAACCAGAAGGCCAAGGCCAGCCTGGACTTTCATAGTGAGTCGGGAGGCAGCCTGAGATACCTGAGACCTTGTCCCAAGAGTACAGAGAACTGAGGTCATTTTTTTTTCAACCTCAAGTACTACATCTTCCACAAAGAAGAATGGGAAAGGAGAATCCTGTGCCCAGAATGGAGAGCAAATCAAAGTATCCCAGGCATCTGAGTCATCCTAGAAAACAAGTGGGTTGTCACCGTCTTACATATTGTCAGGTTATGGGAAGGGCCACCCTGTTCCCAGATTGTATTTTAGACTCAGAAATTGGAGAGAACGGGAGTGACCTGAAAGCAAGTAGTATCTGGAGAGGAGAACAGGAGACACAAATCTTTGGGCATGAGGGTAACCCATGGAGATAGCCTACAGACACAATGCTGGCCACATTGACGGGTCAGTTCTGAAGGGCAGATTTCTAATACCTTCTGGCAAGGGCTTTGAAATAGTCTTCTTTGGCTCGTGTCTAAGCTGAGCAGGTGACAGTTATAATCTCACATAGTAGAGCAGCAACACCAACAAGCATCAGGTGAGATGAGGGCGGGGCCCCTCTACCAGGTGAGCCTATGGATTGCTTTAGACTACGAACATCCAGCCCTAGGGATCCATGAGGAGATGCTGGGGCACTTCTGCAGCTCTGCACTGCTTCCGACCATCCGAGATCCCCAGCTTGGGCAACACTCAGGAAGATGTGGGGAGAAAGTGACCTCAGAGGCATGAAGATGGGTGTGGATGACAACAGTTCTCCTTATCCCCCCACTCCACCCTTTCCGTGTTCTGATGGAGGCTCTGAGCAGGTGAAATGCTAATTTCCTCCTAATAGTTCCAGTTATAGACTTAGGAGGAATAATGAATCCCTAGCAGTGGAAATAAATGAAACTAGTAAGCTTTATTCAACTCAGAATGTGTTTGTTAATGCAAGCTCAAGATTAGACCAAAAAAAAAAAAAAAAAAGAAAAAAAAAAAAAAAAAGCTGTGAAACAGAGTACTTTCTTGCCTGATGGGTACTACTACTACATTAGATTTCGAGCTGCTGTGGCTGTGAACATGGGTTATATCCTTTATCTTATAAAGGAGCATATATGAATGTGTACAGTATAGTATGGAATCGCCTTGCTAGGCTGAGAACAGAGTGTATATAGCAAAGGATTCCATATGTCTTAAGAAATCATTCTCAGAGCAGAGAAGTTCCCCAAAACATCTCATCTCCACCTGTGGGTGACTCCCAGACTTAATAAGGGCTCTGGTCTGTTACCTCAAGGTCATGGTCTGAACTTCTCTCCAAGGTCTTGAGGACATGGAGAGCACTGAAGGGAGATGACAATAGCCCATACACCAAAGCTCTTGGCTATGCTCTGGTTCCTTGGCAGCCAGAGGACTCAGCCCGTCTTGAAAGGACACTACTTCTTTGGTAGGAAACAGACATCTGGTAAACCCATTGCCTCTCCCCTCCCCCAGAACCTTCCTCACCTTGTTGGAAGGAGATATACACCAGCCTCTCATCGAACTTCTGGACCTGCCGGAAGTTGTTGACCATTTCTCTGGGGGTTGGATCACTCATGTGTGTGAAATACAGAGCAGTCTCCAAAGCCAGCAGCTGAGGGGGAAGTGGAAACAGGTCTCATGAGAAGATAATGCTCACTGGACTGGCCTACTGGAGAGAGGACTTGGGGGAACTCTCTGGAATCAGCCTCTGAGGTGCTCAGCAGAAAGTATTTAAAAACTAAGGGAAAACCAGAGAAGTACTTCTCTGTTCTGAGGTTCTCACTAGGTATTGCTGGTTTGGGCTGGGTGGTTCCCTGCTGTCAAGGTTCTTGAAGACCCCAGAATGGCCCCCAGTGAAAGCTGAAGAGAATGGGGGAGATCCTTAGCTTCCCACCAAGATCACATTCCTTTCATGACCCTGAATTGGAACCCAACTCTTAAAGCAGTTGGGGGTGGGTGGACTTGTTTTTATGATCAAATCAGAATAAAAAAGACAGAGGGAAGAGGCCCTCTGGTGATCTGGCTGCTGGCTCCCTGGCATTTCCACACCTCCCGTGAGTGTGACACCATCTGTTTCTATGGCAGCTCCTGGGTTGACAATTGCTGCTTCCCCACACTTGTCACCTATGACTCAGCTCATCCCCTCTCTTGTCCACCCACCAGCTGCCATTTCTCGAGGCTTCTCAGCTCAGAAGCTCACAGTAAAGAACAGATTTTGACAGCGATGGCTGGCTGAGATGGCTCTGGTGGGTGATCACGCTATGTAACGCCGTCCACCTCCTCTACACGATTCTTGGTGCTTTCAGGTTGTGGGGTAGAAGCAGTGACTCAGCTCAGAAGTCAGGTGATCCTGAGAACTTCTAACCCTGCCTTCCAACATGAGTAGCTTAGAGACGGCGGTGAATAACCTGGTTCCCCAGCTTGCACTGCTGGACTGTGAGCGTAAAGTCAGTGGAGTTCTTACCACTGCAATACCATGGCCCACGTGTAGCCTGGTATGATCTTTATTCTGTCCCACCAAAGGAGCCAGGCTCTCTCCTACAAGAACAGCAAATGCCACGCATCCACTGAAGGGTATATTAGCAAACACAGCCTTGCAGGTCTCTTTAAAGAACTGTGGGAAATGTGATCATTTTCCTAGCTTGATGTTTAGCTCCTCTTAGAGAGCTTAGTCTGTAATTTCTACAGCATTTCAGTAGCAGGTCCAATCCGGAGAGGTTCTGGAGAGCTGCTAACGGAACTCTGAGGAAATCAAGTCTTCGATGAGAACAGCCTCAGGGAACATGATGCCGTTATGGATTCTGGCGTGTTACCTGCTCTTGGGAAATCTGCACAGGGTTTCGGAAGACTGTCCAGAGCACCGTAGGGTAGCAAGGAGGTGTAGTGAGGGAGCCTTCATAACGGTAATACTCGCCAGGGCTCACAGGCAGAAGTTCTTCAATGTTGAAGCCAGGGATGAGCACTTGTTGGCCTAGAGAGACATACTGGGTGTGAGGGTATCAGCCTAACTCTTAATAGGAGAGGCGTAGCTAGGTACAGTAACTGAGCTTGAACACTCAGACTCACATTCAGGGCATGTGCTCTTTTCTGTGTTACCTGACCCAGTGTCGCAACATCGCCCAACAACTTGCTACTCTCAATGTGGTGAACATCGACAGCGCCTATCCCTTATGCTATTATTATTAAGGTGAACACAGGTCTACCCATATTCTGTGTAACAGTGAGTGAATAAGCAGCCAACACCCCTCACCTTTATACTTAACATGTTGAAGATGACTGAAGATCTTGTCGTACGATGGATTGGCAGAGCCTATCTGCAACAGAGTTCGGGCAGGTTGAACTGGGACAAATAAGACCGTTTCAGCCCACATTGACAGTCGCCATCAGGTGGCCAGGCTGGATGCCTTCCCTGAGGATCTGCCTTACAAAGAAAATTCTGACCCATCACCAGATGGTTGAAAGTTAGTATCGTGTTTTTGACCTTTATCAAATGATAGCTATTTTTATCTTAAGATACCAGTCTTGAGTGTCCCAGTATAACAGGTGTGTCCCTAGTTATCTGATATGAGCCTGGTGGACTACAACCAGTCCATTTAACCGGAAACTTAGAAGAACTTTGAGTTCACAAAAGCCAAGCCAAATAGGTAAGCACATTGGAAAATGAGAACATTGGGGGAAAACAAAGCAAGCTGATGAGAAGTCATTCCTTTCTTAGCCCCTCCCACCCCAACCAAGTTTTTGAGATAAAAATTTGTATAAGTAGCCCATGCTGACCCCAAACTCTCAGCAGTCCTCCTGCTTTGACCTCTAAACCTGCTGGGACTGCAGGCATGTGTCACCATACCAGGTTCAACTCTCGTTTTCCAAGATGAATTCATTCATTCCAGAATGGAGTTTGGATGTTAGGTGTTGTATCTGTGAGAGATACATCTGAGGGTGCAGCATGGATAGGTATAGCATCCCTATACCCCACAGGCCCTCCCCAGATGAGTGTACCCACACCATGCAACAAGGCTACAAATGGGGGCTCATATTTCTAATGTCACAAAAGATATGTTGTCTTCAGCTGCCTGGATACAGGAAAAAGCTTCCTTTGAGAGGAGAGAGAAAAGCCTTCTGAGGAACACAGCCTGCTCTAGCGCCAATGCAGAGACAATCCAGGAGCAGCTCACTACAGACTGCTGTGCACAGAACATATGTCCGGATACCTTCTCCACTACGGACTTTATGTAAGAAGCCCTTTAACCACACCATACCTCAATAAGAACAGCAAGGACAGCGAGGCCTTCTGACTTGTCGCTGGCAGCACTGAAGTCAGGGTACAGGTCTGAGTTATAATGGACAATGTGCAGCTGCAATAGGAGAGAAGATACCCACGAGGGGGACAAGTGACTCCAGGAACCTTTCGTTTTTGTAGAAGACTTGAGCCAAGCAGAAAGATGGATATCTGTCCCTCTCCTCCCCCCCAAAAGAACTGGTCCCCTACCCTCACCATCCCTCCCCAGTTTTTCTCTTTTTCCTTAGTCCTCTCTAGCCTGCAAACCAGGGCATATCCTATCTTACTCATTGGACCCCTCGTGTCTGATAAGGCACCTGGAAAGTAGCAGAGGTACAGTAGGCATGAATGAGTGGATGGGTGGATGGGTGGGTGGGTGGATGGGTGGGTGGGTGGATGGGTGGGTGGGTGGATGGGTGGATGGGTGGATGGGTGGATGAATAGATGGGTGGATGGGTGGGTGGATGGATAGGTGGGTGGATGGATGATAGATGGATGGATCTTTATATTAACTGTTAAAAAGTTTGGGTACTTTGGAGCTATTCTCCCTTCATTTGTTTTTCTGGAGCGTGGGCCAAGTGGTCTCCTGTAATTCGGTGTCTCTCTAGTTTATCTGGAAGTAGGAGAGGTGGGGAAGGAAACCAGTTGCCAGCTACATCTTAATTGTAATTGGTAATGCACAAAACACTGGTGTTTATCCCTCAGGCGAACGAAATCATAGCATGGCTTTTACCAGCTTAGGTTTGTTTGTTCGTTTTTTTGAGACAAGGTTTCTCTATATAGCTTTGACTATCTTGGAGCTCACTATGTAGACCAGGCTAGCCTCCATCTTGAAGAAATCTGCCTGTCTCTGCCTCCAGAGTGCTGAGATTAAAGGGGTTCACCACCATTGCCTGGCCTTATCAGCCAGATTTTAAGAGTCTATAAAACAAGACTTTTTTTTTTTTTATAAATCTTCTCAAAAAAATTGTAAACATTGATATTTTAATCAGGCCAGAAGCTAATTATTAAGGTAAAGAGACATTTTTGAGTAGTCCTAGATTTAGAAAACCTACCCACATATTATGGCCATTGTTATTATAAATTCTTGTGATATTTAAATCTGACTTTTAATCCTGAAGACAGTATCACCTAGCCTTCAGAAAACTTTGTGATAGATAGCTCTAAATACAAATACATGCATTCTTCTCCCATGCCCTGGAAACTATTGCATATCAAGACTATATCTGGATTTCAGTCACTCATCATCTCCCTCTTTAAAGGAAATTCAGCATTAGGTCTATTTTCAATGTCATTATGTGGCCTTTGCTGTTTTCTTGAATATCAGCAATCACAACCATCGGCTTTGGTGTGACGATTAGCTTAAGAGCCAATAATGTAACAATTAGTAATATTTTTTAAAGATTTTATTTTATTTTTTTAGCAAGGCATGGTGATGTGTACCTTCAATCCCAGGACTCAAGGGGCAGAAGCAGGAGGATTTCTGTAAGTTCAAGGCCAGCCTGACCTACATAGTAAGATCCAGGCCAGTGAGGCTACATAGTAAGATACTATCTCAAATGTTTGAGAGAGAGAGAGAGAGAGAGAGAGAGAGAGAGAGAGAGAGAGAGAGAGAGA